CAGAAGTCAATCTTTACCTTAACTAAGCCTGTCTATTGTCTTTTGCATCTACAATAACATTCCTTTGTAATGTCAGGGTAACTTTCCCTTTCCAGACCCCACTGGAAAAGACCCTAGTGCACCAGGGTGGAGACAATAAATTCTCTCATTTGATCATGTGAATTGTTGACTGTTAACTATCCTGTTCCCACCTAAGTAAAAGATGTACGTGTTTATCAGTTTACTTTTCATCCAATCCCAGAGGTTTCCCAACTTTGCTTTCTCCCACCTCCCTGATCTATCACCAGGGAATTTCATGGAATCCACTGCGTCATCTCTTTTGATTGCAACATATAAAATAGGTTGCAAAATTGCCTTTCTCCGGAGCATTATCTCAATTTGTTGAGATTTTGCTTCCTGGCAGTTGTCGACAGTTAGGCTCAAAGAAAGTCACAAAAATTCTTCATGGGTTTGAATGTTTCTTGCATTGACACGTGTAGTTTAGCTGGAACCCTCAAACTGAACGATAAAGAACAGCGTTTGTAATCCTTCTTTGCCCACTCTTTCCCTGGAGTTTGCTTTAGAAACAGAATGTTGGAAACACAACTAGGTGATGTGGTTAAACATTTTTTGTTGTGAATGTTTTCTATTATGTCGTCTAAGTTGTTTTAAAAAAATGTGCTCAGTAATTGTATAGCAAAATCTCAGAATGCATTAGAAGACATGTTCAGTCTCGGAGACTTTCTTTCCAAGATTCAGAAAATTTTGATAATTTTAATAATTATGTTAGTTTCCTTTTCACCATTCAGTGAAACTATTTGGCCTAATGCTATCCATGCCGTGTGTGTGTGTGTGTGTGTGTGTGTGTGTGTGTGTCATACGAAAAGACAAAATTCAACCAGGTAAATCTGAAGATCTAATTGGCTTTATTAAGCAGTTCACGAATGGAGCAGAATCCCATCTAGCAACTAGAAGGCTCTCAGGGGGATCGTACAAAATGAAAGGTTTTTGTAGGAAGAAGGGTGGAGCAAGGGAGCTGTTAACAAAAGAAAAGAAAGGATTATTTTTAGACCAGGACATCTAGTTTTAGGGATGGTTCCAGAGGAAAAGCAAGGGTTTTAGCATACAGATTGCTTCTTTCTATGGGGCATGGATAGGGCCCATGGGACAGATTACCTCATTGGTGTTGACGAGAAAATTTCAGACTGATGGATTTAGATCAGATCTTTCTGGGAAAGATTGAAAGGTCAGTTAGGTCAAGTATTAAAAATTGAGTTTTGGTGTAATGGGCTTTAGCCCAAGGGACTTCATTTTAGGTCTGTGTTTTTTCTCTTTATCAGTGTGTTTTAAACAAATGCATTAACTGCCCTAGCCGGTTTGGCTCAGTGGTTATAGCGTCAGCCCGCAGACTGAACCGTCCTGGATTCAATTCTGGCCAAGGGCACTTGCCTAGGTTTCAGGCTCTGTCCCCAGCCTGGTCGGGGAGCATGCGGGAGGCAGCCAGCAGTGTGTGTCTCTCACATCACTGGTTCTCTCTCTCTCTCTCCCCCTTCCACTTTCTCTGAAAAGCAGTGGAAAAAGTATCCTTGGGTGATGATTAAAGAAACAAAAACAAACAAAACACTAATGCAGTAACTATTTTTTTCTCTTTCATTTACTTCTATCTTTGAATCTTTTTTGAAAATTTTCATAGATACCCTCATTCCTTTATCCTTGTAGCTCATAATTATTTGCTCTTGCGGATAAAGTTTTAAACTTTAATTTGTGTTTTTTCCCTCCTGATGTAGCTTCTTTAATTCACCTTTTCTTATGATGGTAATTTTATTCATCTTTACAAAATCTGCTGAAGGCATAGTGTGTGGTAGTAACTGTGCTAGGTGCCAGACACGTAGTGATAGACACAGAAATGGTCTCTGACATACGGATTGTAAGGACAGAAATAATTAAGTACTATATACAATACTATGTGATAAGAGCCATGGTGAAAGGACAAGTTCTGAGTTGTTAAGGGACATCTGGAAAGTACATAGAAGAGATTGTGGTGGAGGAACAAACTTTCCCCTACCCTTAAGGTTCTTCTGGCTGGTCTAATAATCAGATAGACATGAGGCAGATTAGCAAGAGAAAATAACCAAATTTAGTACATACATATGTATGGCAAACCCACATACATGAGACCCACATGCAGGAGAGGTTCAGAGATAGGAAGGGGGGTTGCGGTGTATAGGAACCCTGAGCTGGGGATGAGGTAATGCTCCCTGGGGGTCATGGCAGGGTGATAAGGAGAGCAGATGTTTAGTAAATAAAAGTATGCCCTGACAGGTAGGTGGGTCAAAAAGGTTATCACTGATAATCCCTTTTGGGCAAGGGCTCTAATTCAAATTCTTCTAGGAGGTTAAGCAGGGATGGGACAGAAATTTCTCTTGATCCTGCAGCTAAAGTTGCCTTTAGCTCAAAACAATCTGCATACCACAGAAGCACATCTTGGGGTGAGTCATTCTGGACCCCCACAAGGCCTCAACCAAGACTGGCTTCAAGAAGAATCCTTGTATATGAATTAGACAAAGGGCAGGTGACAAAGAAGCTTTCCAGGCAGGAAAGGCCAGAGAGAGACAGAGAGAGGGGAGGAGAGGGGAGTGGGGGGGAGGAGAGGAGAG